TTTGAGGTACCAAACGACACTAAATTCAAAATAGAAGCGCTCATATTACGCGCGAAGCCATTGCTGATGAGTTTTGATCTATAAACGAGCTTATGGCTGATAAAAAATATTAAAAATTGGCTTTTTTGTGAGATATACAGTATACTATCCGGTTTATAACGACAATTTCACTCGAAATGTCAAGTGTGTAGTACCAAATTATTCACAAAAAAATGCTTTTTCCCAATATGCTAATGAGCCACTCTCGTTCCAACTGAAAAAATTGAGATATGATTAAAAATACGATTTGGCCATCTTATAAACGGCCAAGACAAGACACAAAAAACATTAGAGGATCAAATCTCTTTTTCCAAGCCTCCTTTTTTAACATAGCCATGGCACTCTAGATTGAAATTTAATATACGATTTTTTTTAAGCAAAAATGTCAAAACTTGACATGATATGTCATTCTATTCCCCATGAGTGTCATTTTCTACCAAAAAAAGAAAAAGATACCGAGGGTGCAATATCTCTTATCGTTTCCGAGATTCCAATGGTTGAGAGCCGTTTTGGATACACTCTGTAGAGGTAATATAAATTAAATGTTGAAGCATCTAAAGGCGTGTTTTACTAAAATAATACTATTTAAACGATATTTTACGAGGGGCTAGCCACATATTCTGTAAAATTTATATATTCCTGTGTATGTTTCTCCTCTGAAATTATCTCTAAAGGATGGTTTCCACTTGTGCTATTTTGATGCTGCATTTTTTAATTTAATATGCCTAACCTATACTAACCTCACTAACTCTTCGTTGCCTATATATCAAGTTACATTTACTTTATGCAGATTAATGCCAGGCTAATAAAATTAATGATTTTTTATAATTTTACATGTTTGCAATAATTAACAGGTCGGAAAAATGTTCCCTTCTGAATTTCCCCCGAATGTTTTCATCATTCCCCCCTGAATCTCTATCAATAATTTTTCGTTGATTTTATTAATTCTACCTACACTCACCGGCATGAAAAACGGGCACCTTAAAATAAGTATCCCTTTCTAAATTAAAGATGAACTTTCCCATCTGTCAATTATTGAATAAGAAATATAAGAAAATTTGTGACACCCTGTTGAATATATTAACAAAACAAGAATATTAAAAAAATATTTTATCATCGTCTTTTCTCGATAGTTTGTTTTTTGAGTCATCTCAATAGTTTTATTTTATTAACTACCGTGTACCCACGACGTCGTTCGCGTCTAAGCGTTTTCCCGAAAGACTAGCCGTTTTTTAAATAACAAATATTGTAATATTTGAGGGGCGTTTTTCACCCTCTTGGAATTTGAGATTCGAGAAACCTTCTTATTGAACCTCCACACAGCACAGTCAATCTGTTTGCCAAAAATCAGCTTTAAAAGTCAAGCAGTTTAAGGAGAATCGTGACTACTCAATGGTTATATTTTATGAAACACCCTGTATAAATTTTTAAAATATCTTAAAATATGTAAAACAACAAAATAAAATATACGTGTTTAAGAGTTTTTCCGAAAAACTCACCAGTTTTTAAATAAAAATATTCTAATATTTGAGGGGTGGTTTCACCCCCTTAGAATTCGAGTTTCAAAAAATCCTTTCTTATCGAACCTCTACACCCTAAAGTCAATCCGTTTTCCAAAAATCAGCTTTTTACGTCAAGCGCTTTAAGCAGGATCGTGATTAATCAATGACCAAATTTTTCGAAACACCCTGTATACATTTTTAAAAAATCTTAAAATATGTAAAAAAACAAAATAAAATATACGTGTTTAAGCGTTTTTTTCGGAAACTTGACCGTTTTTTAAATAAAAATAGTAGTATATTGTAATACTTAGAAACCCCCTTGGAACTGGAATTTCGAAAAATCCCTTCTTATCGAACCTCTACACCCTAGAATCAACCTGTATGCCAAAATTGAGCTTCTTACATTGAGTGGTTTGAGCAGGATCGTGATTAATCAGTATGTCAGTCACTTAAGGATTTTATATATTACTATAGATAAGACAGTAACGATTTATAGCAATTTTAGCGTTGAAAGCATGCCTTTGCTTTTCCTCATCAACACACTTCTAAAAAAAAGTGTTTATGGTTTTTGTAATGTCGCTGTCATTGAAAGCTCATATTATTATTGTCTATTGACATTTACTCTAGTAGAAGATGGTTTTAAGATAATCTGTAGTATCGGCTATTGCTGCTTGATGATCATGGTAGAAATCAACTTTTGGACTTAAAATTATCTCTGTTAGACGAACTGCCCAAATTCGGCTTACAGCAATAATAATATAATTTTTTCAAAGAGAGTGACATTACTTACGTAAATTATAAACACTATTATTATTTTGTGTTGACACTATTATTATATCTGATTTTCCTAATTGTGAACAATCACAGGTAAAAAACAAAGTTACAGCATCAAAGTGCACAGATGAAAACCACCCTTAAACACCAAAAAACGATGTGATATGGTTCATCAGATAGTAGATAATTTTCTATGTATATTTCCAGATAACACGTGTCCCGTGCAATACTACAAGCAGATTTATGTCACAGAATAGAATTAAAGAGTTCAATCAATGTAGCAATGCGCTAAGAAGAGTTCTCTTTGTTCTATGCTATGTAAAATAATTTACGCAAATAGAACTTGCAAACAATCAGGCATTGTATGTATTCTCTCGTGAAAAGTTAAATTTGCTAAAACTAAATGAAACACCACCGAGACTAGGGAAACACTGGCACTTGTTAATCCAAACTAGGCTGAACAGCTCACTAAAGTTTTAAATAATGTCGTTAAACAATTTGTCACAATTAAAAAGCTTTTGTCCGTAATAATTATCTAATATAAGTCACACGTATCGCGAGACAAAGGTTTTAAATAAATTGAAAAATTGTTACATTCCTTTATGCCATTATTAGAAAAGTCAACAAAGTTGTCGTTTTTCAAATTAGCAAGTGTCCGAAATTTACATAGAGAACCTTTTGATTAATCTATTAATTTTCATCATGTACCGACAATCAGTAGAGCATATTTACAATAACTGCACAATTTATAGACAGTATTTTTGGAAATTTTAAATAAATATAGTTAACAATTATATTTTATTTTTTTTTGTGTACCGCTAGCACTAGTACTGTAGTAAAAGGTAGAATTTAGAATTCTACCTTTTAGCACTAGTACTGTAGTAAAAGGTAGAATTCTAAATTCTACCTTTTACTACAGTACTAGTGCTAGCGGTACACAAAAAAAAACTGCACTTAATGATACAAGCAAGCCACTTTGCAGAGATGGTCTGTGGACCTAATAAATCGATTTGGCACGTAGTTCCTAAATTTTCAACCCATAGAATTCCGGTTTGGGGGGGGGAGTGAAATTCGAGGGTAAAATACTGAAACGCGTAAATAATGCTAAAAAGGAGCGTTTAGACGTAATAATGCTTTCTCATGAACGAAATGATAATGTTAGAATACACAAACATCCCTTAGAAGACGATCCAAGACTGACAAAGTAACATTTTTGATAATTCCAAACATTGATGTGTTGGGTACCATTTTATAAGTTTTTGAGGTCGCTGAATACGTTAGTAACCATAAAAATACGATTAGATACATCCCCAGTTATCTAGCCGATAGTCTGTGAAATATGGGTAAGAAAAAATTGGTGAGTATATGTTAAAAGACAAATATTTTTAAGAATATTGATAATGTTCACACACCTCTGATTAGAGCATTGTCCATTGCACTTCCTGCCTGCAGGTGCAGGATAGTTGATACCGACGGTAAGAACATCGTTGGCGTTCACAGCCTTTGGTGCAGCCATAGCTGTCTAGAGCCCTACAGTCAATCCAAACCTCTGGAAGAAGAGTCCAAAATGGTTTTAACTGGTCCTTTTCTTTGACCCAACCCCACATTGTTGGAGAAGGAGGACTATCCGGCCTGTCCTGTATAGATCTGCTCCAGATGTGACCTGCCTGGTACGCAGATCATTTAATCTGTTGAAGCAGTGCACCGCTTGTTGTAGGAATTGCGTTTATGCGTTTGCTCTTTCAGTTGCGAATAAATGTTTTTGCTTGATTAACACTTCTGCAGTTGTTTTCATCCGGTACACCATATAAGGCAACTGTGTATTCTTCCAACGCGACCACAAGGTCTTCAAGTAGTTCTCCTCCAATGGCAAGGCAAGCCTTTTAAATGCATTCGTGGCCGAAATCTTTTTGAACCACACTTATAACTTCTACAATATTTCCCAAAATTCTACTAATGGCTAAAGGTCGTATTTAATCGTATTTTTATAATTACGAACGTATTCAGCGACCCCAAAAACTTATAAAATGATACCCAACACATTAATGTTTCCAGTTATCGAAAATGATATTTTTTCAGTCGCCACTTTGGAAAATGGCGGTTTAGCTCGACTTCCGGGACATATTTGTGTATTTTAACATAAGCATTAAGTTCATGATATAGTATATTATGTTTAAATGCGCCTTTTGAGCTTTATTTACACATTTCAGTATTTTACCCCCGAAATTCACCCCCCACCCCTCAAACTCGAATCCTAAGGGATAAAAATTTAGGAACTACGGGTTAAATCATTCTATTAAGTCCCTAGAACACCTCTGCAAAGTGGTTTGCTTGTACCATTAAGTGCAGATTTTTCTTGAAAATTTGGTTTTACCGCTAGCACTATACAGTTTGTGAATATACAAATAATTTCTATAATTTTTTTATCAGAATTAGACAAAAATAAGATGTTTAAAGTATAGTAGGCAGTTTCCTTTGTTAAAAAAAGTAATACTAGTTTTTGTTTAAAATAAACAAAGACCATAGAATTCGATTCAAAATTCAACTCATTCATTAATCCCTCCAGTTAAGTAACGTACACACTGACGCCAATAACTTTGTTTGTGTGGGCTGATACAATTATTTCATTTTGTACAATCTTAGCCAGGATACAGTTATAAATCTATATCAAAAACATTAACTTACCCCAAATATTTCCACCTGAAGTTAATAAACTGACACACAAGTAATATAAACACCAAATAAAAGCACTAAAATAAATGTTCTGTGCGATCAGGGTTACAATCAAAACAAGAGCTTCTCAACTACTTCAAATAATTAGCAGATTTTAACGAAACATACAGAAAACGCGTCTTTATTTCATGTATGTTATAGATAAACTAATAATGCTGTAAAATTATTTATTGACTACCTGTTGTTTTATGTTGATAACAATTTTAGGTATCGATCGATTTTGGATAACCGCGTCCTTGAAAAATTAAAATAAAAATGATTTAGATAAAAGCAGATTAAACCTTGTTGCCAATGTTTAACCAGACGTTCAATTTAATATGTTATATGGGAAACGCTACACGTTAGAGTGTAAATTGTTCAATTGTTAAAATTATTTAATTAATATTTGTTACGTTTATTTTACTAACATATTTTCTATTGACACGTGTTACTTGTAGAATGTAGTGTGTCTCACTGTCATGTCCCTGGTCCTATAGTGGATCGACTAACACCAGCTTGGCTAGAACTCCAATGTAAGGACATCGATTTGGCGAGTCACTAAATCGAGAGAGGAGGGCCATGGTCAAGTCAGTCAAGTCCTCACGATAGGAATTGACCTCAAATCCAAAGAGGCAATAGTCTTTCTCTATTGAGATACATATTCTATTATAGATTCGGGATAACACCGGTATTAGATCTAACGAGAGAGAAAGTTAAAGAGGTGGAGAGAATGGAGACTAATCCTCCAGTCTCCACCTCAAGGGTATTTTTATTGTATTGACTAAGTGTGGGTCCCACCTGGCACCCTCCACTGCGGCCGCGAGTTCACCCTCAAGACCCAGCTTTTTAACATAGGCCGTTATGTCCGGGGGTAATATGTCTTCTAGGTCTGATAGGGCTAGCGTGGGTTGGCCAAATACCTCAAACCTGGTGCTGCCCCCAGCGGGACAGGTACACATAACATACTTCATTGTTTCGTCATCTTCCATACAGAGTTGGCATTCGGCGTCTTTCACCAGTCCCATCCTCAAGGGTACTTCAGCAGAAAACAAGCTCCTCGACTGTGATAGACACAGGGCTGTGTTATGTTCCTGGCTCCCTACAACAGGAAGATCCCCATGCATGATGAGTTACAGACTGTATGATGAGTTATAACTTAAGAAAGGAGGACACAACCGATCTTTACGGTCACGGTGATTAACCCTCCTTCAACTCATTCTAGATGAGTGACCTAAAAACCATACCAATTTTTTTATAAAACCTGTCAAACATATAAAATTTGACAGAGACAATAATTTTTAAATGGTTTTTATACTCTAGGCTTTATTTTATTTTTTATTAATAAATTGATATCAGATTTAAAGTTATATTGAAATGAAGCTTGAATATAATTCCACCAACTATTAAATTATCTTTTCAGTTTTTTTATTATCATTTCCAGCTTATTCAACTATTTCCAATTATGATGTAGCCTGCCCCACTCGCCCATATATATATAGATAATATCTCTGTAGTTGGACCCATTGTTGTATATTGTTGACTATGCGGGTCCAAGTTATCTCTGCTGATTTCTTAATATAAGGGTCCCATTTCATGTTTGGTCTTCTTCTAGGTCTCTTAATTCCCCGGGAATACCGTGCTGTAATTTTTGCGGTGCATCTGCTGTCAGTCCTTCTTGCTAGATATCCTGCCCACTGCCACGTCATTTGTCTTATCCACTCTATTCTCTTACGGTCTTTTTTTTTGTTATTCCCAGCATATTTCGCTCCATCAAGCGTTGTGTGACATGCAGTTTCCTTTTATTGCTGTAAACACTTAAAACGGTTATAAGTGTCCAGGTTTTGCATGTCTATATCATGACCGCTATCCATCGATAGAATGTTTTCTTCTATAGATAATTGTGGTATTCTAGATTTGAATTTGACTGGGTTTCTTCCATTCCATATGTACTCCATGCTAACTTAATTCTTCTGTTGATTTCTGGTAGTAAGATTCCTGAGGTGTATATTATACTAGTAATTAATAAATATATATTCTTCCACAATTTCCAGTATGTGTTATTAGAATGGCTTTTCTGTCAACCAGTCTGTTGTACATACATTACTTTAGTTTTTGCTAAATTCATATTGAGACCTACTTTATTGCTGGCTGTATTTAGTTCGTTAATTTGTGTTTATATTACTTCAGTCCAGTCTAGTTGAAAGATTTCTTCTAGTGTTGCTTTATACAGCTTTGGGGATATCGTGTCTCCCTGTAATAATCCTTTGCCAGTTAAGAATTCTAGTGTTGATTTATCTATCACTACTCTTGCTTTGGCTTCTTCTTATATATTGACAAGAGTTTCTATATATGTATGCCAGGACACAATATAAATATTAGCAACAGTGTTGCTACCGACAGACATACATAAATTTAAAAGCGGGATATTTGAATATACATATAACGCTTCTGTCTATACCTTGTTTCGTTAAGGCTTCTATTATTGCCTTAGGTTATATTGAGGGCGTCTTATAGACCTATAGCAATGTAAACCTGCCTTTTTTAATCGATTTAAGACCGTCCGAGGGGCAATACGTACCCTGCTGGCAGCCAAAAGGTCCTGGCTGAGCAACGTGTAGTTTCTTGCAGGATCCATCCTAGCTCCTCTCATTAAGCTGTGGTCCTCCAGCATTTGTCGACCTTGGTTTACTCTCCCTATAACTCCTATGACAGATCAAGACTCATTAAATCGGGTTTTAAGTCTAGAAATTACACTTTAGGTGACTTTAAACCGATCAACCACATCGATCTGTCGCGTATCGCCAGGAAGCAACCCAATGGCTTGATTTGTTTCCTCTACTGTTAAATGACGTATATTTATATTATTGATGACAGAATAACCACAATATCGCAAACTGCCGCTTAGCAACACGCACACAAATTCTATTCTAAACAAAAATTAAATGTACATTTTTGATGATAATGCTTTTGATTTGTTTGGGTACAATTTTTTACGTTCACGAACAGTATTTTTTAAACACAAACAACATAGGTATTATAGCTATAACACATAGCTATAACACATTTTTTCCGAAAATTTTTCTTCTTAAGATTTTTTTGGCAAAAATGTATTATATTATTTACCAATTATTCTAAAAGAGAAAATTTTATATTATATTAGTGTTAGAGTATATTATATAAGTATATAAATAGTTATTACACCTGTAAATTTTAGGAAAATTAAATTATGATTATTAAATGTTGACTTTTTAATCTCAATATTTACTTTATCGATAAACAGCTACTGTGTAACAATAAATCATAATAATGTTTATACAGTGTCATCCAGGTCGGTAATACATTTTTCAATTGTTCAATTTCTGAAATCCAGACAATTAGAAATGGCTATACCTTTGTGCGGAGTTTATTAGGTACTGAAACAGGTGAATACTTGAAATCTGAAACAGAAAACTCAAAAATAATAGTATTTATTATTTGTAGTATGTCAGTGGATTAATAATCTATGGATACAAACATGTGAGTGACTCACTTGTAAACAGATTTAACTTAATTATAAAAAAAACAGTATTGCAAACAAACAATATTTTACTGGAGGTGTCTGTACTGTAGTATAATAACCCAGGGTCGATCAACGAAGTTGAAGAGGTAATATTTTAGCCAAATGTATAAGAAACAATTTAAGTGAAATACAGGAACCTACGTTGTGTTAAAAATATTTTTATTGTGACTTACCTCGTATGCGCTCGACAGATGCAATATTAGGGAAATTTGAGGAGAATATGTTATGTAAATCGAACGCTAAATTTGAAAATGGTCCTACTTATTTTATTAAATGAAATGAAAGAAGTGCCGTACTCTGTCTGGAATTCACAAGTAAAGGAGCACGGCAGAGGAAACCTCGATCACTATTCCAAACAACCAACTATGCTGTTCTGAAGTTTAATAAAAGATAAATAATAATAATACAAATACTGTCTTCATACCAAAGTTTGAAGTTTAAACATATCTAAAACATTCATAACTGAAGAGATTTTGTTAGTTAGCAGGTCCCCACCTGCATATATTGAGGTCCCTGGATTCGGGAAGCTACTCAGCTCAGAGTTGATATTTATGGTTGGGGCCAATACCTTTAGACTAATATAAAATAAATATATTCTCTAATAGCTAAAATCTCTGTACGTTGACTGATTTCCCTCTCTGGTTGGATGCGCATATATGGATACACACGATGCGCATATCTGGACGCTCGCTCTATTTGTCTTGTGTGAGATCACTTCTCTTTTTTGTTATTTTCCATCAATCTCTTTTGATCAGCTCCAGTTTTCTTTCAACGTTCTTTTTGCATTTCTTTTTGCCCTAAATAAGTCTTTGAGTTATTGTGATTTAAATGCAGTAGAAGATTTTCGGTCATTTTCTACTAGGAACATACACAGAAATTAAAAGTCAACACATTAATTACTGCGTTATAGCGTCGCATAATCCTTTAAACTCCTCCATTTTCAAGCACTTCATTTATTCTTATATACTTTATGCGAAATTAACGCTTTCCAGATATCGATTCGTTTATCGGTGATACAAATTTTTCCATACAAAAATTTCCTCCATTGAGATACTACGACATTTTAATATAACTTGAGTAAATTGATGTAAATTTAAAAAAAAATCTTTCAAGTAAAATGAAGTGTACAAGTTCTTTAATTAATTTTTGTTCCAGTCAGTCACCGCAAATTGCTCTAGGACGCTTAAGTTTAATGTCAAACTAGGGAGCATACATATTTTGTGCAAACTTCTAGACTAATTTTTAAATTCCTCTAATTTATAAAATATTGAAGTAAAGTATCTTCTGGGACTAATAGTGTTTATAGTGTTGAAATCTTACATCTTCGGGCATCTGTAGCTACTAGAAAAAAGCTTGGGAATTTTGTTGAACTGCAAACCTAAAGTATGTACGAGGATCTATTTCAGGAAAATAGTTTAACTTGTATAGGATGGCTATTATATTTATACAGGATCCGACAATAGTGTGTCGGGCATCTATTGCTCCTAGAATAAAAAAATGGGAATTTTGTTTAAGTGAAAATGTAAAGTATGTATTAGAATGTATTTCAGGAAAATAATTTAACCTTTACAGGGCAGTTCAAAAAAGTGTGAGTGGATCGGGATGATTTTGTTTAAATTG